CCAAAAATCACGACTAAAATTTTCTCTTAAGACATTACTAAAACCATATTCATAAAAAACCGTATCATAAATCATAACATAATTTCGAAGCGTTAATTTGAAATACAAACTTATTATCAGAGTAAAACATCCCAGGCTAGCTGACTATGGTGTGTGCACTGCAATCTTCCCGAGCTCCTCCTTTGAAAACTGAGTACCTGAAACTAAAAACTGAAACTGTAAGCACGAAGCTTAGTGAGCTCCCCCAAACTACCACATACCATACAATAACATATAAAGCACATACTGGGTCTTGCCCACTGCATCGGACCGAGGTCCGGACTAACTGGGGCCTTGCCCCTTGCATCGGACCGAAGTCCGGAAACTAACTGGGACCTTGTCCCCTGCATCGTACCGAAGTTCAGAAACTAAATGGGACCTTGTCCCCTGCATCGGAACGAAGTCTGGACTAACTGGAGCCTTGCCCCCTGCATCGGACCGAAGTCCGGAAACTGACTGGGACCTTGTCCCCTGCATCGGACCGAAGTCCGGACTTGCCCCTGCATCGGACCGAAGTCCGGAAACTGACTGAACATAGCATAGCATAACATATCAACTAGCATAAACACATATACTGCATACTGCATCGGGCTGTAGCCCGGAACACATAACACATAACACATAGCGCATAAATCATGTCTGGGCCACGAAGGCATCAAACATACTAACTACTGCATCGGGGCGAAGCCCTGAAACTACTGCTAACTGAACAGGCCGACATTGTGGCCTTAGACCCGTTCCTACTGGAAGGAAACTCACCTCGTGAACTGGCTGCTGAGTGTATGGCTCTGGAAGCTATCTGCTGCTGCTCCAGTATCTCCCCGGCTACAATTCCACAAATACACTCAATCAAATACTAATAACTGCATTGGGGTAAAATGACTCTTTTACCCCCGGCTAAAGTCAACTCTCCCGGTCAAAGTCAACTTACAGTTGACCTGACTCGCCGAGTTGGGCCGCCAACTCGCCGAGTCCCTACTCTCACTTCTCAACCCTGCTCATTGCTACTCGTCGAGTATGGCATCAACTCGACGAGTTCCCTTTCGATTCTAAAACTCAGGCTATCTGCATCCGACTCGCCGAGTTGTATGAACAACTCGACGAGTTGCTCTTGAATCTATGAAGATTGCCTTAGACTCGCCGAGTTGTATGAACAACTCGTCGAGTCCTCCATTACTGAGTCTAACCTCCGGCTCACTGAGTCCATTCTACTACTCACTGGTCCCCACTCGGAATCACTCAAAGGGGAAAAATCGGGGACTCGCGGCTCGACTCGCCGAGTCCGAAGAACGACTCGCCGAGTCGCATGCATGCAGTTACTAAAAACTCGATTCTGCTTGAATCCAGTGCATATAACTTGTAGATCTGGGCTTCTTATGCTCGATTAACACGTAAAGATTCTATCTTTACGTGTCCATACACATCCATGGAGATTAAAAGGCTCAAAAGACATAATAAAGGCTAGATCTAAGGTTCTCATGTAAAGGAACTTCGAAAAGGAGATAGATCAGGGCTCTACAACTCTTAAATGAACAAATCTAGGGATATCTCGACCCAATAAGGCATCCATACAACTATAAAGCTTGGAAAATACATTAAACTAGCCTTAGAGGTGTTCTAATGGAGGTTTTAAGCACAAAACATGATAATTCCGGGACATACCTCAATGAACTCTGACTTTGGCCTTGGATCTTTGCTCTACACTTCCTCTTTTAGGTCCTTTCTTCTTCTTCTTCTTCAATCCTTCAAAAATCCACACCAAAACACTTTAATCATACAAGGAATGGTTTAGGGTTTCTCACAAGCTCTCTGAGGGTGAAGGAGGCGAGTTGGGGCACATATCATTGCTTAAATAGTGAGCAAACCCGG